CTCTGTTGTCTTTCACTTTGTTCCACACCCATTACTGGAATTTTCTTTCTGAAGCACAGAGTTGATCTTGGCCAATCCCTTAATTAAAATTTTTTCATGCCTGCCTTTTACTTTTGTTATCTAGGTTGCACTCAGAATGGCACCTAAAACTCTTCCCAAATGTCGTCCTAAACTTCCCTTTCTTTTTTGTGGTATTTATTCTGTTATACGGACATAATGCTCATTAAGTTTCCATTTCTTCCAGACACACTTCCATACTTTTGGTCATGCTGTTCCTTCTGCCTGGACTGTTCTCTCTTCCCCTCTTTTTCAGCCTCCAAGTTTTACCTCTGCACAGCTTGCCCTAACCTTCAGCTCTCCCCACTTTTTAATTTAGTCCCCATAGAACTTTGCATAGACTGCTGTGATAGCAATTACATATCTTTAAATTTATTTATTTTTGGGTTTTTTTGTGGGGAGGGAGGTAATTAGGTTTATTTATATACTTATTTATTATTTATTTTAATGATGGTACTGGGGATTAAACCCAGGACCTCGTGCATGCTAAGCATGCGCTCTGCCACTGAGCTATACGCTCTCCCTGCAATTAGTATATTCATTTATTGGACAATTTCACTAGCTAGAATGAGAAAGAGCCCTACTAAGGCAGGGACCATATCTTATTTATCATTGTATGAAGTAGGTACTTAACCAGTCATTTGTCAGACATTTATTATTTCAGAATTTCTGCCATGGAGGAGTTGGGGTGGGTGGAAAGGGAAGTTAGTTTGGAAATAAGATAAGAGGAAGGTGGTAGACACAAAGCAGATTCCAAGTAGAATAAAACAATTTATTCAAGAATTAAGAAGATAAATGTTAACTGAGATTGAGACATAAAGGGCTTTACAAGGAAACATTTCCAGTAAAAGGGGAGAGAATCCCATCCCACTCAAACATTCTGTGTACGGAGATGAAAGCCAGAGAGGTTTTTTGACTGTCTCCCTTGGCTACTTGGAGATTTTTCCAAATGTTGTATGCTGTTGGGCATTACTGTTTCATTGGTTTTCTTTTAAAAGTTTCATTTTGCTGGTTTGGTGTTGCTGTAGCTACTCATCCTACTATACTTTGTAAGGATGCCTTTAAGCCAGGTCTGTTTTGGATAATTAGAGCTACTAGTGGAAATAGTTCTGTTGCAAATACCCCTCACTAATAATGCTCATAATGCATCAAATGCTAGTGACGTCAGCTGGTTTAGAAAGAAGAAATTCTGTTGTTACCACCCTCCCTTCCCCCGTGCTGGCATGCACTCAGAGGCCTCAAGAGTTCTTCCTAAACCGGAGCTTCTGCCCCCCATGTCACTCACTACCCGGAGCTCTTGAAGCATACAATGCAGACATTAGAATGGGAGCAGAAACAAGCATGTTTTTGGAAAACATTTTCAGTCCTCATCACAGGTTATGAATTCAGTCTACTTTATTGTTTTAGCTTAATTAAAATAGGTAATTGCTATCACAGCAGTCTATGCAAAGTTCTATGGGGACTAAATTAAAAAGTGGGGAGAGCTGAAGGTTAGGGCAAGCTGTGCAGAGGTAAAACTTGGAGGCTGAAAAAGAGGGGAAGAGAGAACAGTCCAGGCAGAAGGAACAGCATGACCAAAAGTATGGAAGTGTGTCTGGAAGAAATGGAAACTTAATGAGCATTCTGTCCGTATAACAGAATAAATACCACAAAAAAGAAAGGGAAGTTTAGGACAACATTTGGGAAGAGTTTTAGGTGCCATTCTGAGTGCAACCTAGATAACAAAAGTAAATGTCCATTTTGTGCCAGAATTGAAGTTTTCTGATAAATTGGCCTAGGAGGGAACAACAGAAAAGATGCAGATGTGGGCCTCTCCAGCCTGGTCTGAAGGTGTGAGCTGTGGGACTTAATCTGTTGGACCTGGGAGATGATAAGTACACTCACTTCCCTGGTGCTTTTAGAGAGGAAGAGGAGGAAACAGCAAGAAGAACTCTTTTCTTGTCATTTGGAGTCTCATTTCAGTTTATTTCTGCCTTTAGAACTAGTGTAAAGTGTAATTCCAGTGCTACTAAAAAATACACACTAATATATGTACATTTAAAAAGTACTAAATGGAAACACACCAAGATGTTAACAGTAGTTTTCTTTAGATGATGGAATTATAGTTCACTTGAACTTTTTCTCTGGACTCTTTGCTGTGACAGCCAAATTCCTCCAATGTATATATATTAATGTTACTGTCAGAAAAATTACTAGCGAAGTTTAAAAATAGTAGTTAATTTTTAAAGGATTCATAGAGGCTCTTCTGGTTCTTGGAGATAAACAAACTTTCTTATTCCAACTGTTTATTTCCTTTTCTTATAATTGAGATATATTTCACATACTATAAAAATTTACCCATTGAAAATGTGTAACTCAATGGGTTTACTGAATTCACAGAGTTGAACAATGATCACAACAATCTTAATTTTAGACCTTTTTTAACACCATAAGTGAGACATTTAGTTCCTTTCAATTCTGTTCATATATTTGGTGGTATAAATCCTTTTACCCAGCACTGTGAGATTTGAAGGCATATATGACATAGGCTTTGACTTCAAGGAGCTGTTACACTAATAGAGAAGAGAAGGAAATACAATTATCTTTAAAATAAGACAGTGGGGTCAAATTCCCTGCCTGTGATGTAAGCTAAATTATTACAGATATGCTGAGGAATTGAAGAATCAGCTCTGTTTGGAGTGATGAGAACAGGCCTCTTGTTGGTAGGGGGATGGAATTTCCTAGGCAGAGAAAATGTAGAACTGTATCATTTTTTTGTAAAGATACTTTTCAATCTATAAGCCATTGGGAATTGTGCCTCCATTTTTTCTAAATGTTTTAACAACATAGGTCTACTTTTATTCAGAAAATTATGATCTGAAACATTTAAGGGAATACACTGCAGTACATGAGCATGGATAATTGCTAGCTTACAATTTAGCAATTACATCAAGATCCACTACTTGTTTTTTAAATGATTTAATGGTTACGAGGAAGAGCCTAAGGCAGACTCTGTATAGCCATCCGTGTCCACGTTGGGCATACTGAACCACTGTCCTCTATACTGTCATCATCTAATACAGGGCCTCTCTGTCCTCCCAGCCTTGTTCTGGCCTTGGGAATTCCTCCACAGCCCCCACTCCCCACACTCCAACATTTAAACGTGTACTGCTATAGTAGATCATTTCTCAGCATGGTGAGGACCTGACCATTCCCAGGGTTTAGATAGCTATATTCCGAAAGAATAGAATGATTTTTTTTCAGGTTTTTTTTTTAATTGAAGTATAGTCAGTGTACAGTGTTGTGTCAATTTCTGGTGTACAGCATAATGTTTCAGTCATACATATACATACATTCGTTTTCATATTCTTTTTTATTATAGGTTACTACAAGATGTTGAATATAGTTCCTTGTGCTATACAGTAGAAACTATTTTGTAAATAGTAGTTAGTACTGCATATCTTGAACAATCAGTTTATCCCTTCCTATCCCCAGTAACTATAAGTTTGTTTTCTGTGTCTGTGAGTTTGTTTCTGTTTTGTAAATAAGTTCATTTGTGTCTTTTTTTTAGATTCCACATATAAGTGATACCATTTGGAATTTTCTTTCTCTTTAGAACAGAATGATTTTTAAAAGCTATCTTAAAAAAATGAAAGCTATCTTGTCACAAAGAAATAAGTTTTTAAAATATATCTACCCTAGAAAACACTTTATTTAATATGTGTTATTCTGTGAATAAATTAAATCTATTCAGTCATAGTTCTGTGAGGATTGAAAATACCTGGGTTTACTTTAAGATGGAGGAAACACTCATTATTTAGAAACTTAAATATTTAGTAATATAGGTAAAAATAATTTTTGTTTATTAGTCCTCATACTGGAATCAGATTCTGTAAAGCATATTCATTTCCTTAAGAATGGGGATTTTTTTTAAATGGGGATAAAAAGCAATAGGCAATTAAAAATATATTTATCAAATTTTTATTTACCAAAAATTCCATGTTGATATGCAAGTGGTAAGGTGGGACAGAATCTCTTTTGGAAATAAGAGAGTTCTCTTTAATGGAAACCAAAAAGATTCAAACAGCTCTTCAGAAAAAAAGCCATTAGGATCATCTATTTCATTTTGTTATGCCTTTTATTTTCAGATTTTTCTTTCAGCCTTTAGCGTCTGTTGTATCTCTTCAGTCATGATGATCGTTGCTCCATTATTTTGAAATTTTTATGATATAAAAATGCTTTTGGCACAGTGATTTTTGAGCCATGTGTGACAATGTGTACAGATAAGATTTGGCAGCATTGTCACCACATGCCCATAGAGTAGAAAGTCATTCTTCAGTTTTCATGGTATTTTAATTTCTAAAAGAGATGATCATCTTTAAAAAGCCTCTGACATCAGTGCCCTTGTTTAAAGTCTTGGACAGTTGAGTTCCAGAAAAATGATCTTCTACTTAATATGCAAGTGCAGACTAAGATAATATGGATTGTAATGTCTCCCCACAGGTGACTCAAATGACCTCTCTCTTTTTCATTGTTTTTGAAATTGAAAATGATTTTTACATTGTTTTTAGGAGTGTGTGTGTTTGTGTTGTGTGTGTGTGTGTGTGTGTGTGTGTGTGTGTGCGCGCGCGTGCGCACGCGTGCGTATCTCCCTGGAGAATGTTAAGGAACAGCTGCATACTGTGGATGCTACCTGGCTTCATTTTTCTAGAGTGGGAATCAGTCTGTGAGCTCTGGGTACTCCCCCTTGTGGATCTCCTTATGACTTCTTCCAGGGGTGCTGACTGCAGGCTGTGGAACAGAATTAACCTGACTGGCTCAGCATGATAGAATCTTCATAAAATGATGACCCAAGTCTGGAAACCACATTACAGTTTTGTTTTTGTTTTTGTTTTTGAAAACTGTAACTTCATCTGATTTATTTCTGCATAAAAAATTTAAATCATACGTTTTGCTTCATCTAGATTGTCTTACAAGGACATGCAACAAGAGTAAGTGCTAAATCTCAACAAAGTGGAGAGAAGGCATTTCGATGTGAATATGATGGATGTGGAAAATTATATACAACAGCTCATCATCTTAAGGTATATACGACGGACGGGCTGTGTCTAGTTATGAGAATACCTAGGACATTAAATGCCAACTAATATGCTTGTAGCATTCATAGTCCTTTGTTCTCCCCTACCTATCAAGATAGAAACGCTCACACTCTTACACAAACACACAAAAGCCTATGCAGTTGCTGGAAACTGTCAGCTCTTTGAAGGCGTGGACTATGTTTTCTTCATCTCTGTCTAGCTAGTGTCCAGCACACTACTTGGCACATGGTAGGTACTCTACATATTTGAATACATTTTTGTTAAATGTGAAATTTATGTAATTATATGAGAGATGTGTGTATAATCACACTGTCAACAGTGATTTGCTGCAGTCTAGCAAAAGTCGGTGTTAATTGTCCTGTCTGTCAAATATATAGACCAGGTATTTTGAATACAGGTAAACATGACATACTGTGACTTGTAAAAATAATAGCTAACATTTACTGAATAGTTTCCAGTGTGTCAGGAAGTGTTCATTTAGCATATCTGGAGTAGCAGGCCTCAAGCCCATCTCCACTGCTTATCAGTGTGTGACCTGCCGTGTCACTTGACTTCTTAGTACCTAATTTTCCTTATCTGTAATACTAGATGATAAAAGTACCTCCCTCAGCAAGTGGTTGTGAGAGTTAAGTAAGTTAATTCTGTACATGTAAAGTACTGAGACAGTGGCCCAGCATGTGGTAAAGATTTAGTAAATGTTGGCGATTGTCCTGAGTATTCATTTGTCACAGCAGCCCTCTGCTGTAGGCACTATTGTGTCCCACTTTTCAGAGAGGACTTTGAGGCTGAGCGGAGGTAAGTGTCTTGGTTGTACCACTAGTCAGCGGTGAAGCCTTGCCGCAGATCAAGGCCCCTCCACACCGTTAACCTTACATTGTGGACATTATGTAGCCTCTCCCTGTACTCTGCTCCTAGCTCTCTCCATGTGCATATTCCCTACAGACACCTTTGATCACTCTAGAAAAACTCAAACCTCCAATATTCCTGTTCTTAAAAATGAATACTTCTTAACATATAACATTGAGAATGATTGAGCTATAGTTTTTGAAAAGTTATCTTTTGTTTTTGAAAAAGAACATACAAACAACAAAATAATTCAGCAATGGGGGAAGAAAAAAAAAGAGGTCTGTGTGGAGACGGTCCACCTGAGGAGTGCCTCAAGGAAATAGACTCACTCCTGCATTTTAATGACAGGTCCATGAGCGGTCACACACAGGAGACCGGCCTTATCAGTGTGAGCATGCAGGCTGTGGGAAGGCATTTGCAACAGGTAAAACATGAATTTTCTTTGTTTCTTGGTTCCACTTGGGGTGAAGCAGAGACAGGTAGGAGGCAGGAACTGACCCCTTGGTCTGAATTAGGCACACAGTGACCAGTTTTCCAGTCTCTCCCTTACTGCCTTTTGTCCTGCTTGCTCTGCCCTCTCTCTGTGTTCTCATTTTTCTCCTCAGACCTGTTTCTGCCTATTGTGTTCATATTTCGCTCCACACTCTCCTTTTTTTAGCAGGAAAAACAAAAGCCGAGCATGAAAGCTGACACAGAGTTTAACAATAGGACAGACCTTAGGGAACCGTGTGGACCTGAGACTTAGCGGTGGGTTGGGTCCTGCCCAGGAACACATCTGGCCTGGCCAGGACCAGTGCCAGGCCTCCTGGCTTCTACCCTATTTGTCATTCCATGTCTCTGTTCTACTTCAAGATTTTGGGATATGAATTGTGAACATCTGATAAGATTGGGGCTCTTTAAAAAAAGAAACAATCTCTTCTAGACAGAAGTGAAACCATTGAATTTTCAGCATGACAGTCCTGAGCTGTCATACTCTTGTACCTTCTTGATAGTTACTCTGTTCTGCTTGTATTATATCCTTGGTATTTACTATATTTTTCAATAGCTTAATCTCTCTGGGCATGCTTAGAGGGGTCTTCTGTAATTAAATTTCTTTTAAATTTTTCTTAAAGGTTATGGATTAAAAAGTCATGTCAGAACTCATACAGGAGAAAAGCCATATCGGTGTTCAGAAGATAATTGTACTAAATCTTTCAAAACTTCAGGAGATCTACAGAAACATATCAGAACTCATACAGGTACTGGTGTGAAGAAACACTCTATCTAGGCCAGGAGTTCTTAATCTGCAGGGAGGGACCCCCAGTTCCTTCTCGGTTTAGTAGTAGTGCTTCTCCGGCATTAAGCTGCTGCTCAGAAAAGCGTCTGAATGCCCAACAGCCCCACAGAAAGACAGACTTGTTACTTCCTTGCGATTATCTCTCCTACCCTTTAAATTTCCTTCTCTCCTTTTCCTCAAGGGATACTTTGTTCTTATCTTCCCTTCCCTCATACTGGATTATTTGTGGATTGGTATTATAAAGGTAATTATTTGCTTTGGATCAGAGCTGGAATAATTTCAGAAACTGTTGATAGGAGATGCTGTTATAAGCTATTGATTAAGTAATATAGCATAAGGCTGTTTAATTTGAGATTTTACTACAGGTCTTTTCAATATAGTATGATAACTTTGTACCCAAATACTTCTGTTCTGAGATAGTTTGGCAAATTTCCATGAATGATTCTTCCACTCATTAAAGTTCAAATATGATCTCAGATTGGCTTTACTTTACAATGTTCAGGAACAAAGCTGTAGGTCCCTGCTTCTATTTCATTCATGCTCTTATTTTTATCCATTATGTCAGAGGCAAATGTTTCTAAGCTCCTGAGATTCATAACATATTCAGCAAATATTTTTGATGCATGTTATGTACTAGACACTAGATTTTAAAAAGGCCAAAAATTCTTTCTCTTCAAGTATTATAGAATAAATAAAGTAGTAGGTAAGCTGTTAGGGGATTCTGGGGTTGTCCTACCTTAATCCTTATTCTTGACTCTGTTTTTCTTTTGTATTTCTTTATGATATATATTCCTTTCTCTGCTTTTCTAGCTCATTTTTTAATATGCCTCCCCTGGATGGTTCCCTCTCGGAAAGTAATGTAATCAGTGATGAGTTTTGAACACTATTCAGGTTTTCCTATGGAAATTTAAGTTTGGAGCAGATGATACCGTTTACAGGGGGAAAAAAGGAAGTTCAATACAAAAAGGCTAGAGTTTTGAGCATGAATGATCCTAGGCAGAACTGAAGGATAAAACATTGGAATTTTGTATGTATTTTTGCACAATTTAATTTATTTCCCTTTGTGTTTTCAGGAGAAAGGCCCTTTAAATGTCACTTTGAAGGTTGTGGCCGGTCTTTTACAACATCAAATATCAGAAAAGTGCATATTAGGACACACACAGGAGAAAGACCTTATTACTGCACAGAACCAGGATGTGGGAGGGCATTTGCCAGTGCAACCAATTATAAAAACCACGTGAGGATACACACAGGTAATGGTCTCTCTTTCTTGATCTTCTGTCTTTCAAGGCTCTGTTAACTCCTGCCTCTCCTATAAACCATTTATAAGTAATCTCCCTCCTTCCTACCACTTGGCATGGTAGAGAGAGATTAAGCAACTTGAAAAAACGTCACCTTAGCATTTATACATTTATTTGACAGTTATTGAGCATCTGCTGTGTGTTCCCCTGCCAGGCATCAGAAATACAGAGACAGACAAGACACTGTCTGGGGCAGGTGATTTGGGGAGTGATAGTAGACATATAACTGCCGCAGAGTGTCTCCCATTACGTGAACAAGTTGCTGTGGGAGTAGAGAGAGGAGCAGCCATCTCTGTGGGAGTGGGACAAGATGCGGGAAGGCTTTCCAGGGGAATTTGATGTTCAGACTGAACCCTAAAGTTTGCCAGGCTGAGGAAGGGTATTCCTGGCAGGGAAAATGTCACAGGTAAAAGCACAAAAGTATGAAAAAAACATGCATGGCTTACCTGAAGAACACTGGGTGTTCCATATGACCAGAGGCATGGAGCAAAAAGTAGAGGAGTTCAAAGTGAGGTCAGAGAGGGAAGCAGGGGCCTTGTGCGTTACGCTGCCATGGTGAGGGTGTTTCTTAACCTGGACTTTGTGGTGCTTGAGGGACAGACAGGGAGGGGTGGCCTCTGTGTGTGTGTGTATATATATATTATTTTTTTTACCAGCTTTATTGAGATGCAATTCACATACTGTACAGTTCATCCATTTAAAGTATATGATTGAGTGTTTTTTAGAATATTCGTAGTGTTGTACAGCCGTCACCACAGTCCAGTTTTAGAACATTTTCATCTCACCTGAAAGAAACTCCATACTTGTTAGCAGTCTTCTCCTACCCCCTGCCCCCAGCCATAAGCAGTTACCAATCTACTTTCTGCACCTATGGATTTGCCCATTCTGAGCATTTCATACAGATGGAATCATACAATATGTGGTGTTTATTGTCTGGCTTGTTTCCCTTAGCATAGTATTTTGGGGGTTCAGCCATGTCATGGCATATATCTGTGGTTCTTTCCTTTTTAATTACTGAGTAGTATTGTGTTATATGTATGTATCATATTTTATTTATTCATTTACTAGTTGTTTTTACTTTGTGGCTATTATGAATAATGCTGCTATGAGTATTCATGTACAAGTTTTTGTGTGGATGTATGTTTTCTTTCCTCTTGGATATATACTTAAGAGTGGAATTGTTAAATCCTATGATAACTGTGTTTAACATTTTGAGGAATTGCCAAAATGTTTTCCAAAGTGGCTGCAACACTTTAAAATCTCACCAGAAATGTATGAGGGTTCCAGTTTCTTCATATCCTAGCTAATAGTTATTTTCTGTCTTTTTGGTTATAACCATCCTAGTAGATGTGGAGTGGTATCTATCTCTATCTCGTTGTGCTTTTGGTTGGCATTTTCCTGATTTGCTAATGATGTTGAGCATCTTTTTATAAGCTTATTGGCCATTTCTATATATATATTTTTGGGAAATGTCTATTCAGATCCTTTGCCCATTTTTTAAATTGGGTTGTCTTTTTATTGTGGTGTTATAAGAATTCTCTATTATATTCTGGGTAAAAGTCCCTTATTAGGTGTGTGATTTACAGATATTTTCTTCCATTCTGTGTTTTTTGTTGTTGTTGTTGTTGTTTTTGTTTTTGTTTTTTACTTGTTAGTACCGTCTGCAGGACAGACGTTTTTAATTTTGATGCTCCACTTTGTGGTTGAATTTTTTTTTTAATTTAAGTACAGTTGATTTACAAAATTGTTTTAGTTTCAGGTGGTTGTATTTTTGATGGGAATGGAAGGTAAATGAGAGAGTGCATTAGTCTTATAAGAAATTTTTTAAATATATTTTTATTATTGGTGTTGAGTAAACTTCTGATAATTCAAAATCAAAGGACACTTATAGGATGGAACTTTAGTTGTGTCAGTTGGTATTTCTTAGGCTGAATTCTACAGACCCCTGGATATCTGGAAATATTTTCAGGGATCTACAACAATCCTTTCTCTTTGAAAATGGAACATTAACAAGTTTGAATACTGCCATGGACAGAGGGGACGCCTTAGGAGAATTTAAAGAAATTTTGCTTTTTTTAGAAAAAAAATCAGTCAGTATTATAGAAAGAAGTTAAAGGAAAATGAGACCATAAGCAGGAAGCCTGGTTAAGAGCCATTAGAATATTTGCAGTGAGTGAGATGGAGAAGGATAAAAAAGACATTGAAGAAGTGTCAGCAAAGGACCTGGTGACCAGGTTAGTCGTGAGGAATAAGGAGAACCCCTCATTCTAGCTTGTATGATAGATCTGACAGTAAAGCTAAGATGGGGAAGAGCAGGTTGGGAAGGGAAGATAATGGTGTCAGTTTGCAGTATATAGTTCTCTGGGTATCCCTCACCACATGAACTCTCACCATCTGTATATTTGTTGTAATGGTTTACAAAGTTTTTGCTGAAAATTTATCATTCAAATTGAAAACCCACTGTAATGAATCTACTTGTACATGCATTTTTCTATAAAGGGAAAATTTTTTAAGTTACATGTGAGTCTTAAGTGAGAGAACGTGGAATACACTGAAGTCATTTCTGATACAATCATTTTATGCTTATGTTGTGTAGAATACATTATGGCTGTCATCTTTCTGACATTATATGTATGTTCACTAAGAAAGTGGAAAAGCTTGTGAAAACCTAAGAGGCCTGGGAAAGAAGACTGTAGATTAGAAGAATTGTATTTTCTAATATAATTTTCATTCTTTTATATCTTTATTTCATTTTTAAATTAGAGTGTATTTTTTGTAGTGAAGAAAGAACAAAATTCCTATTTGATGCTGCTCTGTTATTGTGTATTATACACAAACATATACCTGCTACTGAGTTCATTGAATGTTAAGTAATTAGATAATTGGGGTTCCTTTTTGGATAATTGGTATTTTAAGTGCTTCCTATTATGCAGACATTCTTGGTGGGTTATAACACAGATGCTTAAGAGCCTTTTTGTGATGTTTGGGGAAATTGGCTGGGATTTTTAGATGGGCTGGGGGAACATTATTTTTCCTACTTAAAGTAATGGAATATAAGCTCATTATCTGAAAGTTAGCCATTCAACAAATTTTGTGGGCCAATTAGAGTCTGGTAAGAGGGATGCCTACATTAAGTTTGGCTATACTGATCTTTGGAACATGCAGGTAGAGTAGTGCTTTCAAATGTGGCTGTACATTGGATTCACCTCTTAAAAACAGACTGACTCCCCGGATCCTATCTGCAGATTCTGACATAATTTTATTGGGGTGAGGCCCAGGCATCAGTATATATTAAAAACTCTCCAGGTCTTTTATATGCATGCATGATTAAGAATCATTGAAGTAGGAATATCAAGTAGATAAATGTTGGTCTGAATCAAGAAGTAGGCCTGGGCTGAAAAAAAAGATTGACTTATGATCATCAAGTAGATAGTAGAATAAAAGCCCGCGTTATGCTATGAGTGGAGGGTAAAGAATCAGCTGTGTAAAATGCAGTCCGTTCTTGCAAGGATGGTCAGATGACCCAGTTGAGATGGTGCAGCTAGCCCTTAGGGAGCCAAAAGTGCAATTCAGATCCATTTAGTCTTCATGAAAAGATGCTCAGCATCACTAACCATCAGGGAAATGCAAATCAAAACCACAATGAGATACCATCTCACACCTGTCAGAGTGGCTGTTATCAAAAAGACAATAAATAAGTGTTGGTTAGGTTATGGAGAAAAGGGAACCCTTGTACACTGTTGGTGGGAGTGAAAATTGGTGCAGCCACTATGAAAAACAGTATGGAGGTTCCTCACAAAATTAAAAATACTACCAAAAAACTACTGTATGATCCAGCAATTCCACTTCTGGGTATTTTTTCCAAAGAAAACAAAAACACTAATTCAAAAAGATATATATACCCTTGTGTTCATTGCAGCATTATTTACAATAGCCAGGATATGGAAGCAAACTTAGTGTCCAGTGATAAATGAATGGATAAAGGTGTGATGTGTACTCATACACGTACATATATACATACAGTGGAATACTAGCCATAAAAAAGAATGAAATCTTGCCATTTGTAACGTGGATGAACCTAGAGGGTATTAAACTACATGAAATACGTCAGACAGAAAAAGACAAATTTCACTTACTGTGGAAGCTTAAAAACAAAACAAATGAACAAACATTAACAAAACAGACTCATAGAGAAAAACTGGTGGTTGCCAGAGGGGAGGTGGGTCGGAGTGAATGATTTAGGCAAGAGAGATTAAGAGGTATAAACTTCTAGTTATAAAGTAAGTCAGAGATGCACAGCATAGGGGATACAGTCAGTAATATTGTAATAACTTGGTATGTTGAAAGATGGTAATTAGACTTAAGGTGATTATTTTGTAATGTATAAAAATATCAAATCACTATGTTATATACCTGAAACTAATATAATACTGTAAGTCTATTATAATTCCATTTAAAAAAGTACAATTTCAAAACAAAAATAAAAAACAATCCCCCCAAAAAACAAATTTATTTACATCTTGACTGTGATTTGGTGCCACCTAGTGGCAGTTTCTGCTCCAGCCTAAATATCAACAGAGCTGGTCTCTGAGTTGGAATTGCCTGACATTTCCCTGCCTGGCCTTGCCTTCATTATATCTCCCCCACAACCGTTCCCCAAGATAAGAACCTTGATCTTCCCTGCTTTGAAAATGCAGACTGGGCAGAGGACAGGAAGCAATCTCAATTACTTAATGTCCAAGACGTATGTTACAGATTACATTAGTGTGAGATTTTACTATTTTAGGGTACTTTTACTGTGTTTGAAACCATGAAAAAGATGGAGTTAGCCAAGGAAGGTGTAAAATGAGAACAAAATAGGATAAGCATATGTATACACACCTATGTACATCCTAGAGATTACATGAGTCCACACCAGTACCTCTATTTCCAGCAGTTCAATATTTATATGTCCCTTCTTCCATAGAGAGAGCTCTGGTTTCCAACAGCATTGACATATTTACTCATTGCTCAGTCTTTTATTACATCTAAAATAATTTCGTGGGGAAGGTATAGCTCAGTGGTAGAGTGTGGGCTCAGCATGCATGGGGTCCTGGATTCAATCCACAGTACCTTCATTTAAAAATGAATGAATGAATGAATGAATAAATGTGCCAGCCAGCCAGCCAGCCAAATTCCACCCCCCACAAAAAACTGAAGAAATAAAAACCCAAAAAAACAAAACTTTTTTTAAAACAGCGACACAACTGGTTGCAAATATTAAAAAAAAAAGTTTGAGTCATTTTGCCCATAGCACTGCAATAAACAAGCCTCCAAGAAGAGCTGAAGAATTTGTTGGTAGTTCTCCCCACCCCAGCCTAGTCCAAGACTGAGAGCATTAGTCAAATACTGTGTGTATGAGTTACTTTAATTAGTTTATTCTCCCACTAGCCCCCTGACCCTGGCCCCCATACCCCTTCTAAATGGTTAAAAGTATTCATTTAAACTACAGTTAGGTTAATTTGTTCCAGTTTACTTTCAGTTCTAGGTTCCCCCTAGTGCATGTTAACAGTGTCTAGATATTTTATGATATTAAGTAATCATTTAAAATTTTGTTATTTTTTTAAAAAGCATCCATCTTTCAGATACACAATCTGAAATATTTATGGATGAGATGGAATGCTCTCTGGAGCTGTTTCAGAATGAGCCAGGGTGGGAAGAGGGGGAGAAATGTGTGTTGGATAAATGAAACTATATTGGCTAATTCAACTAGTTGAAGCTAGATGATTGGTACATAGGGGTTTATTGCACTTCATAGTTTTGTGTACATTTAAAATTTTCAATAATAAAAAGTTCTAAAAATATATGTACTGCTTATATTGTTCTCAAATTGTTTTATGGAAAAAGAATTACAGTTTTATTTCCCTTTGTATTGAGTTTTTAGTGAATATTCAGTAGTTTTTGGTTGGATGCAAGAAGTCAGATGAAGTTAAGATGAAATGTGTGTCCTTTTAGATTTACTGAAGTGTCCAAAGTATGTCTAATAGACTTTTTAGAAAATCTTTTTTTTCATTATCCTTATAAAACCCTTAGGGTAAGCTATATTAGTTATAGTAATAATTGCATTTATTATTGTCGTTATTAGTATAATACCATTCGTGTTATTTAGGTTATCTAGTTAGAGGTAACGTTAACAGTTTCATCAAAGCTTAGAGTTAACTGGGCAATAAATATCTCCATCCTTATTTTTTACATCCCTTGTAATTAAGGGGAAGAGTGGTACTTAGGCCTGGGATGAGTCGGGGTGTGGACCACCTTTTGAAACAAGTTGAAACCATAGTTAGAGAATCTTTTCTTGTGTGCTGCCTCATAGCAGAAGAAAGTGATTTGACAGCTGTTTGTTTTTGCCACTAGAGGCTCCCACTGCCCGCACCCTCCCTCTTCCTCCTCCCCCCAACTCTTCCTCACCCTTCCAGAAGGTATGGAATGATTATGCCCTCATAAGTAAAAGTTAATTTTTTTTTTGGTGCTGTTCTTTACTTAGGGGAAAAGCCATATGTTTGTACAGTTCCTGGATGTGACAAAAGGTTTACAGAATATTCCAGTTTGTACAAACATCATGTTGTTCACACTCACTCCAAACCGTACAACTGTAACCACTGTGGGAAGACATATAAGCAGATCTCCACGCTGGCCATGCACAAACGGACGGCCCACAATGACACTGAACCCATCGAGGAGGAGCAGGAAGCCTTCTTTGAGCCTCCCCCAGGTGAGAGTTTTTCCATTATATCCATGTCTGTGTTTGGGAATCAACATGAACATAATTTATTATTCAAAGCATATTCTCAAATCATAAGGTTCCATTCACATAGTCACACAAACATTTACAGCTGTGATAATTGCTATCAAAGAAAGGTACTTAATGCTCAGAGATGTGTAAGAAGGGAAGTTAGTCTGATCTTGAGGCTCAGAGAAGGCTCCCCTGAGGAAATGATTTTTGGAGAGATCTACAGGGTGGAGAGGCGTTAACTTGGTGGAGAGGCAGGGATGTGGTGAAAGGGGAGGTGCTAAACGGAGCAAACGCAAGAGGATGTTCCAGATAGAGGGACTGGCACGTGCAAAAAGCCGTGAGGTTGGAGAGAGCGAAGTAAATTGGAGAGACTGAAAGAAGCCTGGCCAGCGTGGCTCTTTTGCCTGGGAAGTGGTGTGAAATGAGGCTGGATAGCAAGGCAGGGGCACTATTTGCGTGTTGAGGATGTTCATCTTAATCATAAGAGCAGTGAAGCACTCCTGAATAACTCTTAGTTGATTCATGTGCTATTCAGTAGTGTTGTAGGAGATAAAAACATTCATTTCAATGAGAATTAACTCCTGGAAGAAATATTTTAGGGAATTAGATTATATGATTTCAGTTAAATAACTCAGCATAATTAAATAGGTAAAATGAAGTCCGTTTTTCTAAAACGAACGAAAAAACCCAAAATAAAGGTTGTCCTGTTTCATTGAGTACCTCCTAAATGAAGTATATTTGAAAATTAAAAGAAAACATCTTTACTCATTTTTTTTTAATGGAGGTACTAGGGATTGAACCCAGGATCTCATGCATGCTAAGCACATGCTTTACCACTGAGCTATACCTTCCCCCTCTTTACCCAATCTTAACAGCTAATATTGAAGGATTGAAAACCATTTAGGTGAAAAAACAAATGGTTGGAGAACAAGGAAAAGAACAGATCATTCACTGCCTACTTAGATAATTCCCTGTAGTTCTGATTTGTTTTAGATATCAGTCATGTGATAGTAAGGAAATAACAGTTCCTTCACTCTTGAATGCTATACTGTTTTCTAGCCAAAGTACTGTAAGTGTGCATGGTTAGATATCACAACAACTGCTGAATGCTTGCAGTTAGACTTTAACGATGTCAAACTTAGGTTTTTAGGCTTTTTTTTTTTTAAGCTTCCTCAGTCTCTTCCTTAAATGTTGATATTTCAGATTGTCAGAATTTCTTGTGTTCTGGAAGATAATCAATAATATAATAACATACGTTTTATTTAAAAAAAATTAAACCAAGATTATCTTTTCAAGAATAATGATGGGTTTGTGTCCTTTTCTCCTGTGTGATCCCCTAGGTTTTGAACCCTTTGGAAAAATGGCATAATAATAAGTATGATAAATAGCTGGGAACAGAACAAAAAGAAATGAGTAATGAGTGTCATAGAGATTATACCGTGATGACTGTAGCTATATGAGTGTGGGCATCAACCATAAGTTTGAGAAGTACTCTTAAATTAGCATATTAAGTCCTCCTTGAAGGGAAAAAAAAACCCATATTTACTCTTTTTCTGGTCTTCCGAGTGGTGGAAATCCTCCTGGTTGCCAAGTATGGCAGTAATGGACTATTGAAATTGCTGTTTACTTGCTGGTTCTTGGTGAAATAAAGAAATGGATGGGAATTCCTGTTCTGTTACTTATGAAATGATTAACCTCACCCCAGATAATATTGCCATTACAGTGTCTTTACACAATGATGTCATTGTGTACTGATGACTTGCAATCAATCACTTGTGTTAAAGAATAAGTAACTTAGTGTTAGTACCTTGTGTTTACACACCATTCTGGTTTTGTGGTTAATGTTTATGAAGATTGTCTTATCATTTTTAACGGCTTCTTAAGTGACTGCAAGAACTTAGTGCATACCTGCCATACTGGATAGTTAGTATTCCTATACAGCTCCCTCACTCCCCGCCCCAACACACATGCACAGTATCACATAATTATTCCAACTAAGAGAATAAGAGAGGTCTCCCCAAATTAAAACAGTTACATTTTCTGTGGAAAAGTTTGGTTTGGTTTGCTTTGATTTGATTTGGCTTTGCAAAAGTGGAGGTGGAGAAGTTGGCAGAATGTGTTGGAAGCCATTTATGTAGAATTTGATATGTATACTCTTTAATTTTTGTCAGTTTCTCTGTAATATTTAAAATATCCTCTGTTTTCTAAACAGCTTGGCTGATTGGTCAAATAAAGAATTCATTTGTTTTAAACAGGTCAAAGTGAAGATGTTCTTAAAGGGCCCCAGATCACGTATGTTACAGGTGTAGAAGGGGATGATGTTGTGTCTACACAAGTAGCCACAGTAACCCAGTCTGGGTTGAGTCAACAGGTGACACTCATATCCCAGGACGGGACTCAGCATGTAAGTACCACCAAAAGCCAAACAAGTTAAATAATATTTCTCTGAGTTTGGGCTTGAAAGGCAGATTGGGTCTCAACTGAGGAAACCCCTGAATTATGGCAAAAAGTTTGGAGTTTAGGTTGTAGGCAGTGCTACATCTCCTGAAGCTTTCCAGTATTCTAAGGAAAGAGACTGCATGCAGAGAAAGATTAGTAATCAGAGAAGGTCTGTGACTATAGAATTCAGATGGTGTTACGGGTGTAGTTCAAAGGTGAGGTGATGAAGCTCAGAACCACAGTGAAAGGAAGGGCTTGAGAAGTAATGGATCCATGTGAAACAGTTCAGACAAGGGATCAGATTTGATGGCTGATTAGATCCAGGTGGTGAGATTGAGAAATCAGCAGAGGTTTGGCCCAGGTGGTGAGGACATCATTAAAAAGATTTTGGGAAGTCAGTGATGGGCAAATCTGTAAAATTTCCGAAGTATGGCTCTCTCCCTACCTGGAATCACGAGAATCCACTTACCTAGCTTCACAGAATTAATAGAACAAGTATCTTGATTTCCCCAGGAAAAGTAATGGTTGTTGTTTGATAGTCAAACTTGTCATTGTTTTTTAGATGCCACTAGCCTAAAATAATTCAGACTTGATTTCATGTTAATTTAAGCTCTAGCAAAGGTGATCTTAGGACCTGGTGGAGATAGATACATGGGGTTCTTTATCCTCCCGTATCTGCGTTTTCCATGGAGAACCCTTTTCTTACCTGTCTCTCTCAGGGCTTTACCTGCCATGATAAGTTTGCCCTTTGTGCTGATGTTAACCAGGGGGCAGAACATATTCAGCACAGGAAAACACAAAGCACTTATACTATCTTATTCATCCCTCTTCCCCTTACTTTTGACATCACTAATTCCACACAGTACTCTTTGTCCACTGATTGGCATGTGAGATTAAACATATTTACTAACACAGTTTTAATTCAGCATCAACCCTAAGACTTTTCTTAAAATTAGATCATCAAAGACACAGGCTTTCTGGGAGTCATTTGATCTGACCTCCCTATACCAGAGAAATTCCCTCTACAGCAGCCCCAAAATAGATGAGGCAGTTTCCCTCTTAAGAGACAGCCTGTTCCATTGTTGGGTAATTCGAATTTTTATCAGATTGAAACCAACTGCTATGTCATCCCCTCATGGCTCTTCTCTGACCATATAAAATGAGTCTAATCCCTCTTCGTATGTTTTGAAACAGCTATTTTCCCCACCCCAATGTTGTATTTTTTTCTAGATACAACCTTCACATTTCCTTTAGGAATTAGATTTCTGTTCCATTCCTTTGGTCAATTAAACAACAAACATTTATTGAACCAATGCCAGACATTTTGGTAAATTTAGTGTGGGGAGTTCAGGAAAGTAAAGGATATCATAGTCTAGTAGGAGAGGGACATTCCTAAAATGAACAATAATTTCTCATAATGATGGGATAATCAAGAGATATATAAAGTGTTACGGCAATCTGGAGGAAGGAGTAAATGATTCTCCCCAAAGGAATCTTGGAGGCCCATATAGAGAATGGCCATTCAGTTGGATCTTGAAGAATTTTCATGAGTTAGCGAGACAGAGAGTGAAGGAAAGGGCAAAGTGACAAAAATAATATATGACACACCCTGGAACTGCAAGTGGTTTGTTGTGGCTAGAGTGCCAGATTTGTGTGCTGGTTTGGAAGTAGTGAAAAATTAGTCTGGAGAAGCTGTTAATGCCAGATCATGAAAGGTGATGAATGCCATCTAAGAAATCTGAGTTGCAGTGATGGAGAGTCACTGGAGATTTAAGCGGGGAGTATAATGAAATGTGTTTGATTTTTAGAAAGGCAACAAGATTATTAGGGAAGGGTTAGACTAGATACCTGGAAGGAAGTTGTATTATTGCAGAATATTATATGAGAGAAAAATAGGGGTCTAAATTGGCAGTAGAGATGTAGAAGAGGAAATACATTTAAGAAATACTGTTTTTCTGATGACCTCTTTTTAAAAGTTTATTCCATTGTAAAATATTTATTTGGTCCCATAGAGTAGACATATACAAAGATTAAGCCTAGTCCTTAATAAAAATTGCCAAATAAAACAGGCAACATTGACTGATTGTAAAATGCATTGTATTGCAGGTCAACATATCTCAAGCTGACATGCAAGCCATCGGCAATACCATCACAATGGTAACACAGGACGGAACACCCATCACAGTACCTGCCCATGATGCAGTCATCTCCTCAGCAGGAACACACTCTGTTGCAATGGTTACTGCCGAGGGTACAGAAGGGCAGCAGGTAATTGCTTTTCTCTATTTATCAATATCAAAACTGTTATTACATAGATATGCAGTGTGATATAGTAGTTAAGCATACAAACCTCAGATTGAATCCTAGTTTTACAACTTCTTAGCTGAGACTCCTCTGAGTCTCAGTTTTTCCTCATCTGTAAAATCAGAGTAATTATTGCATCGATCCCATAGGTTAACAGAAGGATTAAATGAGATAATACATGTAAAGTACTCAGCCCAGGTGTATATTAAGTGTTCATTAATGGTCATTCTTCCTATCATCTCTGTCAACATCAGATACTTAGGGAAATTCATTTGCAAAATTTACTTTATTAATTTTTGAATATGTAATATATTCACATAGTTCAAAAAGCAAAACGTACATACAGGTACGCAGTGAAAAGTCTTCCTTCCACCCCTGCCTCCGTCAGCCTAGTTCTTGCCCCATAGAGATAATCATAATCCACTTTTATCAGTTTCTTGGGTATTTTTCCAACAATTCAGTAAGCGTGTATAAACAAATTAAATAAATAGTCATCTCCCATTCCCCCTCCACTCTTTTTATGGGAGTAAACTCTATAGTGTTCTTCACCTTATTTTTTTTATTTTTTGTTTTTTGTTTTCTTTAACCTTAATAACACATCCAGAAAAATCTTCTACTTCATTATGTAGAGAGCTTCCTAATTTTTTTTAAGCTATATCATATTCCACTGTATGGACACGCCATAATTTTCTTAAAGTCTTTTGCTGTTTCAAACAATATATAACCTTGTGCACATGTGATTTTGCATGTGTGTGAGTATCTGCTATCAGATGAATTCCTATAGCGGAATTGCTGGGTGAAAAGACATATGCATTTGTAATTATGTTAAGTGTTGCCAAACTTCCTTTCTAGGGTTGTGCCAATCTACATTTTTACCTGCAGCACTTGAGAGTGCCTCTTCCTCTTCTGATAGTCAACGTAGTGGTATCAAACCTTTGGGTTTTTGCCAATCTGATGTATCTCTTTGTAGTTTTAATTTTCATTTCTCTCAAAATAAATGATGTTGGTTAATGTATTTAAAAATTGTTCTTGTACTGTGCTGAAGGCAATGCTGAGTTTCACTGCAGCTCCCTTACACTATTCAATGAAAGAGTCTGTCAAAATTAGTAGCTGTCATTCTTCCTAAATTCATTTATAGATTCAATACCATCACAATCAAAATTCCAGCAGGCTTTTTTGAAGATACAGATAATTTGATTCTAAAATTTACTGAAAAATGCAAAGGACCTATAATAGCCAAAACAATCTTGAAAAAAGAAAAAAATTGAAGATCTTCTACACCTTGAAATACAAAACTCAGAATCATAAAGCTTCTAGAAGAAAAGTGAATGTTTTTGTAACCTTAGGGTAAAGATTTCTTGGACAGGATACAAAATGCACTAACAATAAAATTTTTTCTTTTCTGATAAATTGGACTTCTTCAAAATTAATTCTGCTCACCAAAAGACAACATGAAGAAAAAGATTAGTTAAGCCCCAAACTAGGAAAAAGATATTTACACTATATATATCTGACAGTGGACTTGTATTGAAAATATATAACAAACTTCTGTAAATCAATAATGAAACAATGAACAACCCATTCAAAATGAGCAAAATAAATAAGTGAAATTCTTTAAAGTGAGCAGATCATTTGATTGCTTATTTGAATAGACCCTTCACAAAAAAAAGATACATGAATGGCAGTTAACACAAAAAAGTGATCAACATCTTTAGTCATCAAAGAAATGCAAATTAAAATCACAGTGAGATACCATTACAGACACAGGGAAATAAATGGCTAAAATAAAAAAAACTAACAAAGTCAAATGTTGGCAAAGATACGAAGCAAGTAGGACATGGAGCACACTAGTGGGAGTGTAAAATGATACAACCACTTTGGAGAACTGTTTGGCAGTTTCTTATAACTTCGAACATACCTCTTCCCTGTGACTCAGCAGTTCCACTAGAATGCATACCATATGATTCCACTTAACACGAAATCCAAGAACAGACAAGACAAATCCATGGTGATAGAAATCAGAAAGTGCTGCTTGGCTGGGGGTGGGGAGGGAATTGATGGAATGGAATATGAAGGAACTGTTCTACTCCTGTTTTAGGTGGTGGTTTCACAGTTGTATCTAACTGTTAAAACTCAACAGAACACCTAAGATCCATGCATTTTTATTGTTTGCTTATTGAATCTTACGCCCAAACAAACAAAAACCCAACCACTAGCTTTCAGGCTGTCTTATGGAATGGTCCCATCTAATCGGTTTGCAGTCATTTGCATGGCTCCATGATTCCTGGATGGGTTTATAGTCCAGCTTGGGTAAATACACCTTGTGCCAATTACAGTTGTGGGTCTGGAAAGATAGTGATCCTAAAGCAGACATTCTTATGTACCTTATCTTTAGCCTGCGGGCCAAGAAAATTCTCAAGAGAGGAGGTTTTGAGAGCTAGAATGAAGCCAGGCAGCTTCCAGCAACCAGGGATATATCACATTGTGGGTAGGGGTTGGGGGAGGTCACTTGAGGACCTCTGCCACCACTGCTCCTTCTACTGTAACTACATGTAGGCCGTTGGGTGAATGTTGACTATCCACTGGTATGTTTGGACTGACTCCACCTGTGAATTATCTGTAACATTTAAATTGGCTATAGCTTATTTCTTTACATGTGTGGGAAGAAAGCAGTCAGTCCTTCCCTAAGTCTTTTTTTTTTTTAATTAAGGTAATTGCATTTCTCAGACTCATTTTTCCAGGTGCCCCTGGAAGCCTAGTTGGCAGGTACAGATGGAAGAGTATATGCTTTCCATCTATTTTAGTTAGTTAATTTCAGACTACAAAAGTAATATATATTCCCAGTGGAATAAAATACAGAGTCTGGAAGAACCCCCACATATATAGTCAACTAAATTTCAATAATTAAAATTTTGACTATTCAGTGGGAAAGTTCTTTTCAACAAATGGTGCTGGAAAAACTGTACATCCACATGTAAAAGAACGAAATTGGACCCTTACCTTATACCATATATAAAAATTAGCTCAAAATGGATTAAAGATCTAAATTTAAAACCAAAGCTATGAAAGTCTTAGAATAAAACAGGTGAAAATCTTCATGATCTTGAATTTCTTATGTATGACACCAAAAGCACAGGCAATGAAAGAAGAAAAAGATAGATTAGGAGACTGTTTGTTACATGTAGCACCAAAATAGTAGGCAATGAAAGAAAAAATAAATAAATTGAACTTCCTCAAAATTAAAAACACTTGTGCATCAAAAGCCACTACCAAGACAGTGAAAAGACAGTCTATAGAATGAGAAAATATTTGCAAATCATATATCTGATAAGGGATTAATATCTAGAATATATTTTTAAATCATAAATAAAAATAGTATTACATGGGAAAAATATCTTGACTATATAAAGAACTCCTATAACTCAACAAGAAAAAAAACAAGCAACTCTGTTTAAAAAATGAGCTTAAGACTTGAATAGACATTTCTCCAAGAAGATTTACAGATGGCCGATTAGCACATGAAAAGATACTCAACATCATTTCATCATTAGGGAAATACAAATCAAAACCACAGTGAGATACTGCTTCACCCCCATTGCAATGGCTGTTGTCCAAAAAACAGAAAATAAGTTTTGGGGACAATGTAGAGAAATTGAAACTCTTGGGCATTGTTCATGGGAATGTAAAATGGTATGGAAAACAATATGGCAGTTCCTTAAAAAGTTGAACATAGAATTACATATGATCCAATAATTCCACTTAAAGGTTTTCAAAAGAATTTGAAAATAGAGACTCAAACTAAAAATCAGCTATTTGTTTATGTTAAAATAACTAGTGTCAACATTTAGGACTATTTACTCCATTTTTCCTGTGTGGGTGCATGTGTGAACAAAGTTAGGATTGTGATATAATTTTGTATGCTTGTCATCCACCTAACACTGCATTCTGAGTACATTCTTGTATCAATTAAATGTTCTTTTATTAACTCATTCCGCATACATAATTTATTGTGTAAGCCTCTGATTATTTTCAGAGGAAACAAATTCTAGATGTGGAATTTTTGGATTAATGGTATGAACTATTTTAAGCTTCTTGCTATATATTGCCAAATTATTTTCCAGAAATTTTTAACAATTATGCCGTGGATCTAAAGGTATTCTTGTTTCACTGTACTCTTGCTAGCATTGAGAATTTTTATATGTATATATTTGCACAATTCACAAGTAAAGGATAAATTGTATTTTTAGTTCTATTTATCTGACTACTACTGAAGTTGAACATGTTTTTCAATATTAGCCTGCAGTCTGCTTTTTCTTCATTGAGGTAAAATTTATGTACAATGAAACGCACAGATCTTAAGTGTATAATTCAGTTAGTTATTAAACACACACACCCATCCCATCCCAAAGAAGATACAGAACATTTCCATTACTCCAGAAAGTTCCCTCAGGACCCCTTCCAGTCAGTCCTCATCCAGTTGTTCTGATTGTTCTTGAACTTTGCATCATGGAACCAGACTATAAACTCTTTTGTATGTGGGTTTTTTCTTTAACATAACATTTTGGAGATTATCCATGTTCTTGTTTATAACATCAGTTCATTCATTTTTATTGTTAAGCAGTATTCTGTTGTAGGAATTTATCAGAATTTGTTGATACATTCTCCCCTTGATGAACAATTGGGATGCTTCCAGTTTTTGAATATTATGAATAAGGTGGCAGTAAAAATTCTAGTATGATATTTGTAGCCATATATTCTCATTTCTCTTAGATAAATACCTGTTTCTGGAGTTGCCGGGTCATAAGGCAGAGGTATATTTAACCTGGTACAAAGGTGCGGACAGTTCTCCTTAGTGGTTCTGTCATACACTCCCACGTATCACTGTATAAGAATTCTGCTTGTTTCATAGCATCAACATTTTGAGGTGATACTCTTTAAAATTTTAGCCATTCTAATAGATGTGAAATGGTATATCATTGTGTTTTTAATTTGCATGTAGATTGCTTAATTTTTTAATATCTAGTACTTTTCTAGATACCTATTTTTTTTTTAAATCAAAGTATTGGGGATTGAACCCCAGACCTCATGCATGCTAGGCTCAATGATCTACCATTGAGCTGTACCCACTGCCCCCCATTGTTCTTGATTTTTAATTTACATTGGTTATGGTCAGAAAACACATTCTTTAAGATTTCATTATTTTTAAATTTGAGACTTGTTTTCCATGTGTCTTTCATTGATTTCCCATTGTATTCTGTATGTATTTGAAAAGAATGTGTGTTCTGCACTAATTGGATGTAGCATACTATACATTAGGTTAAAGTGGTTGGTACTGTTGTTCAAATATTCTATAACCTTATTAATCTTTTCTATCTTTGTTCTGTGAGTTACTAAGAAAAAGGAATTAATATCTCCAACTCTCATTGTGGATCTGTATCTTTCTCCCTTTTTAGTTGTTATTTTTTACTTCCAGTATTTTAAAGCTCTGTTATTAGGTACATACATATTTAATTTTAATTCCTCAGATGACTTGTAATTATACCCTCTGTGTTAACTTTTTTTGTGGTTGCTCCAGGGATTACAATGTGCATCCTTAAGTTATTGCAGTCTGCTTAGACTTAATATTGTACTGCTTTATGTAAAGTCTAAGAACCTTGACACACCATATTTTCATTCATGCCCCTCCCTACTTTTTGTGCTGCTGTGATTTTACATTTACATATGTTATAACCTCTGTAGTACAATATTATATTTTAGCATTAAAGTTAATCTTTTAAGTTAAGTTACAGGACAATAGGAAGCATAATATTTTATACTTATCCTAAATTTATCATTTCTAGTGCCTTTTATTCCTTTGTGTAGATTTGAGTTCCCATATGGAATCATCCATTTAGCCTGAAGCATATACTTTAGCATTATTTGTAGTGCAGATCTACAGTCACAGATTTATTTGAAAATATAGTATTTCACCTTTTTTTTTGTTTTTTTTTGGGGGGGGTGGAGAGGAGGCAGTTAGGTTTATTTATGTTAATGGAGGTACTGGGGATTGAACTCTCAGTCTACCACTCAGCTATACCCTCCCCCCTCACCTTTCTTTTTGAAAAATATTTGTTTTGAAGGATATTTTTGGTATATGTAGAATTTTTAGTCAGCAGTTTTTTTTTCTTTCAGCTCTTTAAATTGTCCCTGTCCTTCATTATTTCTGATAAGAAATCAGCCATCTTTATCATTGTTCAGTTATCCTCTTGCTGTTTCTAGATTTTTTCTTTATATTCCTTTTTTAGCAATTTAATTCTGATGTTGTTTTTCTTTGTATTTCTCTGCTAGCCGCCTTATATATAATTATAAGAATATATAATATTATTGGGGGGACTTTTTTTTTTTTTACCAGATTTAGGAAAAGTTTGACCATTCAGAAATTTTTATTCTGCCTTATTCTGTTTCTCTTTTCCTTCTGGGTCTCTAATTGTATGTATATTAACTTGGTGGTGTCCCACAAGTTGCTGGGGATCCATTCTTTTTTGTGTGTGTATGTCTTTTTTTTCTTAGTTCTTCAGATGGGTAATTCTTATTGATCTGTCTCTAAGTTCACTGACCTTTTCTTTTGACATCACCATCTTCTATTATGCCCATACTGATAATTTTAGATACTGTAATTTTCAATCATAGAATCTACTTTTTTGAAAATAGTTTTTATCGTCTACTGAGATTTTCCCTTGTGCACATTCGATAAGCCTTTTAACATATTTATAATAGCTGTATTAAAACCCTGGTTTGCTAATTCCAACATTTTGGTCATCTCAAGGTCTGTTTTTGTTGCCTTCATTTTCTCGTGACTCTGGGTTACATTTTCCTCTTCTCATGTATTAAAATTTTTTATTGTATTCTGTACATTATAGTTGGTACATGGTAGAGATTTTTAATTTTGTTCTCTCTCTCTGAAGAATATTGATTTTGTTCTTATCAGGTAGTTATTTGTGAAGGCTGTTTTATCCTTAATTAAGGTGGGTCTATTTCAGTTTTGCCATTTGGTCTCAGGGTGAATCTGTAGTCCTGGGACATAATCTTTACTTTACTCCTAAAGTGTGGCCCTTAGAGTTTCAATTGAAAGCCCAAGGGGTTTTCCAAGCCCCTCTAACTTGGTGGGATTGAAATTCTAAATCCTGTCTCTCCTGTGGCATCACTGAAATCTCAGCTTTTCAGCCTTCTAGCTGCTGCTTTTTACTAGATTTACTGGAACTTCCAGTTCTGAGGTCTTAAAGAATTGAGGGGAGTTTATATGCAGGTTTGGGGGCTCCCTTCCCTCTGGTGTTCTCCTTTCTAGGACACCCCTCTCAATACATAGCCATTGTGGCATCCCTAGACTCCATTATTTGATACCTTTAGCTGCCCCATGCTGCTCAGACTGATGAGTACCCTCAGGGGGAAAAGCTGTTTAAACCTAGTTGTGACCCAGTGTGGTTACCTTCTTCTGAGAATCCCCTCCATTTCCTTCTGCTTTTCATTGTTCACCAATGCCTTCAAATAGTTGCTTTTTCATATTTTTTCCACACTTTATAATTGTAATATAATTGAAAGGGTTAGTCCAATATAAGCTACTCCACCATTGCTGGACTGAAGTCTATTGCTAGACTATGGAACATCACTGGGATTGAGCCAAGCTAAATATCTATTAGCTTTAAAATCTAGCATTTTCAGTGGATTAATAGCCAAGTAAAATAGTAATTTTATTTTTTAACCTATTCTTTCTCTGAGTTTGACTGAACCAACTTTTAAAATACCATACAACAGAAGCAGTTGATGCCATTTTCTGTGTTACCTACATAGAAAAAGCTACATGTGTGGTTTAAGAGCCATGAAAGCACTTTTAACCATAACGGCTAGCTGCTTCAGAAACAATATGGAAAGATTGCATGGACTCTAAAAGAGGAAATGAGAATAACAAGATATGTTGCTATTTTGTGAGTAATGCTACTGGTCCTTTGTTTTCCTAGTGAAATGGAAATCTAATTTTAAATGCAACAGATAAACAGGAAAAAATAGTATGTCTACCACTGATCAAAAATCAGGAATAATTAGACATTTGAGGTGTGAATTAATCCACATATGTAACTTCCCTGGCAGCCACTTAGGGATAAGACTTCAGGCACAGTCACGTCTCTCTTGGCAAATGGAGCCTGGTATAGTGAATCCACTTCTCCAGTGTCCTCTACTCTGTTTTGCCATTGGCTCACTTCATAACCTTAAATCAGTCCCTTCTTTCTAAGCTTCAATTTCCTCAAATAAAAAAAGAGGAGCCCAGTATAGACAATATGTAAGGTCTTTTCCAGCTTTAGGCTTCTAGAAGTCTATGGTCAGAAGAGGTTTTCCTTTTGAATTTGAGGACAAATCCCTTGCATTAAATGGATTTTAACCTATTTAAATTATAGTTTTAATTCGTCTGTGTACTTTTTGTTCAAGGTTGCAATTGTGGCTCAAGACCTGGCAGCATTCCATACTGCTTCATCAGAAATGGGGCACCAGCAGCATAGCCATCACTTAGTAACCACAGAAACCAGGCCCCTGACCTTAGTGGCAACATCCAATGGCACCCAGATTGCAGTTCAGGTGGGTACAATGGTCTCAGCATTGTACACTGTGCCCTTATGCATAACCTTCATGAAGGGAGGGCATAGAATAATCTATATTACTTAGCCATATTAAGGAAATTGCTGTCTTTGAAGTAGACTCAAGGAGACCAAAACTTTGTTCTCTACTATCTTTACATATTCTAGGGGAATTTGTAGCAAGAAAAATAAGGTTCCTGGTATATATCCCTATTTGTACCTGGGCAGCCATCTTTACTCTCAAAATGAAAGTGTAACTGGGCAGGATTGTATAAAGCACTTAAGAGCTGTTCCTTGGAAATGAACCTTGTGTAAACACAGACCCTAAGTTAGTCCTCCGAGAATCACTGCACAGTGCTATTCTGTGGTGGGCAATGTCAGAAGACTGTGAAGAAACCATTCTCTGGGAAGTCACTGAATTCAGGCAGAGAATCTAGAATGCTAGGTGTAGATTACCTTTCCTTGGGAAGGTTTGTTTGTTTTCTTAATGTATTTACTTGGAAAAGGGTTAGAACACACTCAGGAAATTCTAGCTGTTGGTTTTAATCTAGTTTATGGGCAGAGAAGCTAAAGGCTCAGGAAGCTCTCTGAATATCTCCATTGGAAAAGATCTTTTGTTCCTTCAATTTGTGAAGGCTTATCAAATACCCTTAATAAAGAAACTGCATTATTCTCCCCAGCAGGAATTTGTTTTTGTGTTTTGTGGATCGGCAGTAGTACCCTAACAAGCCCAGGTGTCAGAATTACAGAGAGCACTTTTACTTCTGGCATATTATATTTCTTTGGCATTATCTTAACTGGTTTTGTGTATGTTCCTGTTTCAGCTTGGAGAACAGCCATCTCTGGAAGAAGCCATCAGAATAGCATCCAGGATCCAACAAGGAGAAACGCCAGGGTTGGATGATTAATCCTCTGAACAGTGGAGCAATAAAGGAAGAGGAGCCTTTCATCTTCAGGCAGCAGAGATCCATGAAGCCCGGGCCCAGGAAAATTAGAAATTTTCCATTCCTGAAACACTGTACACATTTTTATGCAAAAGTGGAGAAGGTTTTATTCTCAACACTTTTGTGTATATAACCCTTGGAATAGATTTCCCAAACTGATTCATTGTGTACAACAAAGTATGAAATTAGGGCAATACAGTAAATTTTTATGTTACTCTTTTATCAGATCACAAACTCCTAGAGTCAACACACAAGACCACTGATGTCTTACAGAGTCTTATGATGGATTTTTAACTTACTGTGAAAATAAATAAATAAAGGCTATATCTGAAATGTCAAAGGTTCTATTCATCAAACAATCATAATTCCAAAAGCCATCATGGACAATAAAGGATGTAAAGCCTTCAGATATTTCCCTCAGCTAGTAGAGTGTCTGCAGTTTTTGTTCTACTGTATACTTGTCCATTTTTATTTGTATCTCACGGTTTGAAGACTATTCATTATAATTTTCCATCCCTGTTAAATACCAGCTCTTCAAGCTGAAGTGCTAATTATATTAGCATTACATTGAATTATGTATAAAATTACAAAGTTTGGTTATTTAAAATTAAAAAGTTGAATCCAGTACTTTCTTTTTGTTAAAGATTCTCCTTAGTGTTCAGTTTTTTGTTACTGTTTTTTAAAAATAATGAACTATCAAAGTTTGACCACAGGTTGGAGCCCGGGATAACAGTGCTGTAATTGGAAATGGCTTTGCTCTGAAAATTAGGTTAGTGGGTTGGTGTAAATTATTTATTTTTGCTTATGTACTTTTGTTTTAAAGCTTATTTACCCTAAAGTTTATTATTAATTTTGAATACAGCCATTTTTTTTACATGTTACCTTTATATTTGTTTCATTAAATTGGTATGGGGATGGGGGAAATGTTGCAGAAAATACAAACGTAATAGATTATAATCCAGCATTCATATGTTGAGAGTATATTGTGTATCAAGCACAGAATAAGTACTTTTGCATACATTTTTATCTACTCATAACAATTTTGTCAGATATATAGGATTTATTACCCCACTTCTGTACATGAGGAAAGTGAAGGTACAGAGAGGTTAAGTGTCTACACAGGGCAAAGTCTTGCGGACTCAGACTTTTTGATGCCCACGTCCAAGGTGTTTTTTTCACCACATCACAGCTGCCTTCTCGGATGATAACAGCTTATGGCAGAGATTATCAAGATGGGCCTTGGTGATTTTGGATTGCCTAGTGACCTGAGCACCTGAAGAACCATCTCTAATGTCGGAAATTCAGTGTAGGGCCCAGCAAGTTCCAAAAAAAGCGGGCAGAGTCTGTGTGAGGGTTGTCCTGCAACAATCACTCCTTTCTGTAGCTTGTTTGCCAGAGAGCTGAAATGGGGCTGTTTTTCATTTCAGGCTTTACAGTAAAAAGGAAAAAATGCTGTGCTGTTCTATTTAATATAAATGTTATCTTTGATCAGGTTCTTTGAAGTCTGGCTAAAAAGGGTCATGACTTAGTCATTTGAAATGGGAAACCCTTCAGGGTTGGGCAGGGGATTGGCTGCTTTCCCTTCAAAGCTCTTCATAGATGTAAAACATTAGAGAAGGTCTTAGTCACCCACAGTCTTGGTCTCCATTCTTGACAGAGATATTTAAACACACACACAAGTCCCTGCTGAGGCCCAGAAAGGGGCCAGCACGGGAGGATAGGGGAAGAACAGAATCTCGAACTTGGGGGGGCTCTCCCGCCTCCTGGTCCAGGGCCCGGCTGCTGACAGAACGCTCTTCTGCAGGGCCCGGCCAGGTCTGCTGTGCTTTCCAAAACTGAAACCCAAGCTCAGCCTCCCCAGACTTTCCTTCCCTCTGCCTTTGTTCAGATTCCAGGGTGTTTCTCCCTCACTCTGGCTCCTTTATCAGCTAGATTGGGCAGGGCTGAGCTGGATGCTGCTGGGGGGCCCTGCTTATCCCTCAGCTCAAAAGAAAATGCCTTCCTCCTGGCACCAGAGAAAAGGGCAGAGGGGTGCTGCTGGTTTGTCCCTTACCTGTCTTTCCAGGGAAGGGACCTCAAGAGCCGAGAGAAGGTGGCATCTTGCCCCCAAGGGGCAACTCCAGCTGACGCACTAACAGTTGCTAGTAAAGCTGGTATGGGATTCTTCTCAGTGCAGGGTGCAGAGAGGAGCCATCCCAAGTTGAAGAGTCCCCGAAAGGCACGTGATGAAACGCGAGAACACTTGAGCAGATGGACTGGTGGGCGCACAACTCTGCAATGTGATCCAGATGACGCTCAGGGCAAGCCTTTCAGTCCGAGAAAAACACCCCTACTCTATCCCAGACACAACTTGGGGCCACTATAAGGGAAAGTACATTGCTACAATCTGCACTCATAAGAATTAGGAAATAAAGAGTATTTGGCTTCCTTAATCCTCTACAGGTGACAGCTACCCAGAGGGCCAGACCGCTCCCTGTGCCTCCACTTCACCCCTGGCCATTAGGGGCAAACCGACTTTGGACAGTCTCATGTGCTGCCTTCCTGCATGGCAGCCCCAGGACGAGGTAACTTGGGAAACCACGCACTCAGCGCTGAAATGGGCTGGATTCCATGTCTCATCCCAAGGAATTTACATTCCAGTATTTCCTGGCTCAGATAAGTTGTAGATCAGTCAGTCAAGCACCAGTGAGCAGGGGAGGGGGTGGGTGAAAGGAAAGGTGTACAGCTGGAGTCTGTTTTCAGGGAGGGAAAGGAAAGGGAACACATGGGACATGGAGAAAGGCTGCCCCAGCCCCTCCCCTGTAAGCACTTCCACACTTAGGTTTCCTTTAAGGATGTGGGGGTGGGGGTGGGGGATCCTTCAAAGAATACTCCAGCCAAATACACTCTTTTCTTTGGCCTGAGGAACAGGGTGTGTGACCAGTATGGTTGAACATGACCCTGCACTTGGGATTTGATGCACTGTGGTTGCAGTCTGGAAATTCTTAATCATTTTATCTTTGACTCTTTGTTAAATGAAGTCTCCTGGAATAATGGAGCAGGCACTGGGAACTTGGAGCCTGCACTTACACAGTCCCCATAGTCCCCACTCACCCACCCATGGCCTCCCTGGATGGGTTCTCACCACCACTCCTCTGCCTGGCAGGGGCCTGGAGCCAGAGCGGGATGGTGGGTGTCATGGTGGCGGCCATCCTCACCCCAGCCTGGCGACACCACAGTGTTCCTGTTGGGCAGCCAACATTAGCTGAGTCTGGACAGGAGCTAGCTCTTGCTCATCCTCATACTGGATGCGTCCCAGCTCTGAGTTTTGAAGATACCTTCGAAAGATACCTTTTGAAGAAGCACGTTTGCTGTGGGCTGGGGTGGAGGCCTGTGGGGATGGGAAATTGGTAGCTGTCAGGCTGAAGTGACACCTGCTCCAGACATCCATGGGGTCCTGTGCCCCGGAGGCCTCTTTCTGTAGGCTCTGTGCTGGTGGCAGGGGGAGAGGGGAGTCCACTTCCTCCTATTTTTCCTGAGCCTGGCTGTTTGTGTCTTCTAGCCAGCTCAAGGCACCCTCCCAGAATGAGCCAAAAAATGAAAATGGTATTATTTCAGTGATTCTAAATACAAGTTAAATCCTCTGACATTTTCATTGAAAACTGATAATGTACAATATAAAGATGAAGGGTAAAATTCATGCTAAAAACTTAAGTCTTTAATTTTTCTTAGGACTATGTTGAATAGCAAATTAAAGGCACCATGACAAGTCAAGAGACTGCAGAAGAAAGAAAAACCTTATGTATTCTTTTATGTGTATGTGTGCTGGGGGCTAAAATATACATAACATAAAATTTACCATTTTAACCACTTTGGAGTGTACAGTTCAGTGTCATTAAGTACATTCACAAACATCACCACCATCCATCTCCAAAATATTTTCATCTTCCTAGACTGAAATTACCCATTGAACAAAAACTCCCCCTCCTGCTCCCTCCAGCCCCTGGCAACCACCATTCTACTTCCTGTCTCTATGACTGGCTACTATAAGTACCTCATATAAGTAGAATCATACATGCTATTTGTCCTTCTGTGTCTGGCTTTATGTACACCTATAACAGCCCTTTTTTCCTGCTTCTTGACCAAGAGGCCCCATATTTTCTTTTTGTCCTAAGCCCTACAGAATATGTAGCCTGCCCTGCTGAGGAGAGTTCTTCAATTCTCTTTCTGCTGTCACACAAGAAGTGTGACTCGTGTTTGGGGAATATATTATATGCTTCTATTTTTAGATTATGGGCTCCCTTAGGATAACCAAGAACTTCTACTTCCCCATAACTCCTGGAGGTCCTGCAAAGCAGGTCACCTCTAGTTGTACCCTCCAGCTCTAAACTCACCTGGAAGTACAGAGAGTCCTCAATTCTCCATGCAGCAGTTTCATTTGCCTCCAGAGCATGGCTAAAATGGGAAGACAGAAAGTAAGTCATGCTGAGAGGAAAGAACGCTCAAGGTTCAGGACAACTGCACGAACAATTAAAATGACAATTATCTGGCAAAAGTTTTTCTTTTTACTTTTCTGTGTTCAAGTAAAAGAAAATAGGATTCCTACTTTAATGTCAATCCCAAATTTCTCCTACTTTGCCTTACTTCTGCAGGGTTTCCCTGGACACACAGAAGGCATCCAAAAAAGCTCTCCAGAAGACAGAACACCCTAACTAGTCTGTCTAAACGCCTATCTGCCTAAGAAAGGATGTGGAAAACAACTCTTAGTTGCAGACTCAGTCACAGTGCCCTCCAGATAATTCCTGCAATTTCTATGGAGAAAGAGGTAAAATCTCTGCTGTTGCAAGGGAGCTGCCTTATCTTTTTAAATAGGGGACTTTTACTCAAACCCAGTGACAGGACTTTTGTGCCAATGAGGACCCTGGGAGGGCAATAGGCCCCAGCTGGGAGCAGCTCTTACCCTCACTAGACCTTCTGCCCATATAAAACTGATTAGCCAAGCATTTTCCCCACTACCTTATAGCTTTTCTAACATCCTGAAATTACTTAATGTTCTTTTAAACAGAAAATCAGGAACAACAGGAAAGTGGACCATTTTTTCTGCAAAGGTGATCTTCACTATTGTGAAACTGGTGAAAGTTTGTGGGTATTTCAAAGTCAAAAAGAAAGGAATTATCAAGATAAATCAGGAGTTTGCACCTCTTTGGGAGCGATAGAAATGTCAGCCATCTTGATTGTGGTGGTGGTTTCACAGGTGTACACATCTAGTAAAATGCATCAAATTGTACATCTGAAATATATGTAGTTTACTGTACAGAAATCATACCACAATAAAGGTGTCTAAAAAAAGATGAATAGGATTTAGGTTGACCTCTAATATATCTCTACTGAAATAATTAAATTTTACAAAAAATTTTTTTAAAAAAGAAGGAATTAGTTTAGTAATGAAAAACACTAGGGTGAGCCTTGGGGTCAGCTACCAGCAGGAGTCAATAAGTAGGTTCGGGGAGCAATGGTGGGGAAATAGAAAGGAACCTGTGACTGCTTGCACTGTCGTCAGGTACAGGGCATGATCAAGAGTGTTATGCTGGGCTTCCGCTACAAAATGAGGTCTGTGTATATTCATTTCTCCATCAACGTCATTATTCAGGAGAATGGTTACCTGACTGAAATCCAAAATTTGGGGGGTGAAAAATAGTGTTCGGATGAGGCCAGGGGTTGCTTGTTTGGTACCTCAAGCCCAGAAAGATGAGTTAATTTTTGAAGAAAACAACATTGGATTTGTGTCAAATTCAGCTGCATAGATTCAGCAAGCCACAACAGTTAAAAACAAGGATATCAGGCAATTTTTGGATGGAAATTTTTGTGAAAAAGGAACTATGTTTCCGAAAAGAGAACAGTTCAGCAGGCTGATGAATAAGATCTAAGTTGTCCAGCTACAGAAAGAGCAGGATGCCAGATGATTCTTCAGACTCATTTGTGATATTTTTAAGGATGCAATAAAAGCTCTATTGATTTGGGGGGTAAAAAGAGTACTTGTTTGCAGCATTGCTCATAATAGCAAAAGTTTGAAAACAGCCTAATGGCAGACCTTAGATAAAGTATGGGAGAGTCCTGCTGCTTTAGGCTCCTCCAAACCTCAGCATTGTGTGGGAGGGTTTTGGTGGGCTGCTCTGGGGAGTTCGGGGACGGACTGGTCACATGATGTTGTCGGCTGAATAATGCCACCCCCAAATATGTCTGTGTCCTAATTTCCAGAGTCTGTGAATGTTATTCTATATGCATTAATATGAAACAATCTTTAAGAAATAGTAAATGAAAAAGCAAGGTGCAGAAGAGTATGCAATATATACCATAACTTCTTATAAAAATATCTTAAAGATTATATGTATTTGCATAAACCATTCATAAAGGATACAAGAAAACAGTAATATTGGCTGCCTCTGGAGAATAGGCTGGAAGCAGGGGTGGGTGAGAGAGAGACACTTTTACTGTATACCTTTTTATGCTTTTTGAATTTTGTATTATAAGCTTTTTATTATTTATTTTAAAATAAACTTATTCTTTGTTTTCAAGAAAGAATCTCAATGACAGGTCCTCTCCCTCAAGCAAATGGTACTTTGTTAAAAGATTTTCTGTCTTTGGTCATCAAATTTGAGCTACAGGGCTTAAATATAAGGCTGGCTGATGCAAGTTGATCATAATAGTTTGAATTCAGGTTTTACCGTTAGGTTTGAAATGTAAAAGTATGACGACTTTTAGTAATACATTCTTTAAGGACTACTTGTCTGGGCTACTCATCCCTAAACATTCAGCCATTTTCAGTGTAGGACTGCACCCTGCACCCCCATAATTAGAGAGGCCCACTCACTGATCACTTCTCCAGGACAGCCTGACGTAATGGAAGGGCACAGGGAAGGGACCTTGCCCCTGTTCAGATCTCTGACCTGAACAAAAAAGGACCTAATTTCCTTCCAGTTTCCTTGGGAACCCACAAGCTGACAAGACAACTTCAGCCCTCCTTTTCTATAATCAGCATGTGCTGGTGCTCTGGAGAAGTTTAAAAAAAAAAACCTCTGCCTGTAGAAGTTAAAAAAAACTGTTGCCTTTAACTACCCTCTTCGGCTAGCTTTCTTTCTCTTTCTTCCTTATTGGGTATCAGAAGAGGATGAGGAGGAGATTTTTATTCCAAAGCTCACTGTTTCTTACTCATACCACATGTGCTGTGACTTCAGACTTGCTCATTCAGAGGAAGAGGGGCCTGTTTCCAGCCCCACCTCTGAAATCAGAGAGTTAGAACTTAGCCTAATGCACTCAACCACTAGGAAAAATTTTCAAGTTTTTCTAACAACTCTTCAATCAGTGACAAATCAAACTGAATTATAGATCAGTTTTAACTATATAGCAATGAGAATGTATGGTCTTTAACTACATGTAAAAGTATGAATGATCCTCGGAAATATAATGCTGAGTAAAAAGAAGCTAGATGCAAAAGCATACAGGCCAAACTATTCACATTATTTGAAGTCAGGACAGTGGATACCCTTGGTAGGGCCAGGGCTGGGGATGAAAAGAGAGCCCAGAGGGGAGTTGAAGGGCATGTGAGTAGGGCCAGGCATTTAGAAAGCTGATTTAATGCTCTGCTTTCACCACCTTAAAGTTCTTAATAAAATTTGAACATTGCATTTTCATTTTTCATTGGGCCCTGTAAATTATGTAGCTGGATCTAGGCATTGGTAGTCTCCTATTTCCTAATCTGGGTGTTGAATTTGTGAATATTCAACAAACCATACATATTTTGATACGTTTGCTTTTCTGTATGTGTATTATACTTAAGTATAAAGTTTAAAAAACTGAACTATAGACTATTCTAAAAATAAGTCAATGAAACCTTACTTAAGGAACTCAGCCAAAGTTGTATTCACAAGAAAATTCATGACCTTAAACACTTTTACTGTTGAATAAGAAAAAAATAAAAGTTCATTAAAAAGCAGACAACACAGCAAGTTAGAAAGGGGTAAAAAGTCACAGCAACTCAATTAAAAAAATAGAGTGAAACAAAAAACAAAAAGTCACAACAAAGCAAAATTTAAAGAAGGTAAAAGGAAGAAATTAATAAAGACAAAAGCAAAATAAATTATTTCAAAGTCAGAAAAATAATATAACTCATTAATAAATCTAAGATTTAGTTTTTTGGTGTGGGAGGAAAGCAAACAAAACTTATAAACCACTAGCTAAATTGATAAAAAAGATAAAACATAAATATACAAGTTAGGAATGAGAAAGGGCTTACAACCATGGGTACAGAGGAAACAACAAGAAATCCAAGTGAATACTTTGCCTAATCCTACGCTATTACAATTTAAAATCTGAATGAAATGGCTAATACTCAAGGAAATGTAAATTGCCAACAGGGACTCAAAAACAGCAGAAAATCTAAGCAGATAAATAATCATGAACAAAAGCTGTCAAAAACTATACTTTAAAAAAATAGTAAATAAATAAATAATTTTAAAAAATAAAATGCTGAACCTAGACACGTTAAGGAGCAACTTCTTTCAGACTTTCAGGGAATCAATCATTCTCATTCTATTAAAGCTATTCCAAAGTACAAAGAAAGAAGCAAACATTTTGGTTTCATGAAGCCAAAATTTTACAAAGACTATACAACAGGAAAACTATGAACCAGTTCCATTTATAAATATAGATGCAAAACACCTAAATGAAATATATGAACATAATTTTGCAGTATAGTTTAAAAGCAACTTGACTACAGTTTATTTCAGGAAGGATAGAATGGCATAAAATAAGGAAATCCATTAATCTAATTCACCACAGAAATAATTTAAAACAAGAAAAAAGCAGAATAACTAAGAGAAATGCTAAAAATGTGGTATGATTGAATAGTCATTCCTCACAAATATTCTGACAAAAGGAAAAGAACACTTTAATATAACAGATATAAATCATGTCTATGTGCACACATATACATATACACATCTTATCAAACGATATTATCCTTAATATCCCCATTAAAGTCAGGAGCAAGACAAGGATGCTCACCATTTCTCCTATAATTAGCACCATGCTCTAATCAGCTGAGCTAACCAGCCACTAAACACCTCTCTTGTTATTTAACGTTGTTCTGGAAGTGTTGGTTAATGCAATTAGACAATAAAATAAGAGTCATAAATACTAGGAAAAAGGAATTACCAATTATATGATTGTCTACCTAGAAATCCAAAATAATCAACTAAAAACTTGTTAGAAACAATACAGGAGCACAGAACGTGTTCTGTGTGTTTATTTTATCCTTGCCATTTTTCTGTGCTGTTGTTGTTTCTAACAACTGGTTGAGAAGCATACAGACACACAGGCCCCCGGAAGTCAGCAGAGCTTGGTAGTGCTGGGTGGGTGTGGGGCATCAAATACAAACAAGACCTGGCTGCTTCAGA